GTACAGTCCTGGGACAACTCGACAAAAGGTCTCGATGCAAGCACCGCTCTCGAATACGTTCAGAGTCTTCGGTCTCTTACGAACATGGCTCAGATCTCTACTGCTGTTGCGCTTTACCAGGCAGGCGAGTCGTTGTACGACCTTTTCGACAAGGTTCTTTTAATTCACGAAGGCCGCTGCTGCTACTTCGGGCCCACCGAGAAGGCCGCGGAGTATTTCAAGAATCTTGGCTTCGTCAAACCCGAGCGCTGGACCACCAGTGACTTCTTGACGTCCGTAACAGATGATCACGAGCGACAGATCAAGGAGGGCTGGGAAGATCGCATTCCTCGCACTGGCGCGGCTTTTGGAGAAGCATTTGCCAGCAGCGAGCAAGCCAATGACAACCTGGCCGAGATCGATGAGTTCGACAAGGAGACCAAGAAGCAGGCTGAAGAACGTCACCAAGCACGAACTAAAGCTACCAAGAAGAAGAACTTCACCATCTCGTTCCCAGCTCAAGTCGTCGCCTGTACCGATCGCCAATTTCGCGTCATGGTGGGAGATCCGCAATCTCTTATTGGCAAATGGGGTGGCATCTTCTTCCAGGCCCTTATCGTCGGTTCATTGTTCTATAATCTTCCAAACACTGCACAGGGCGTGTTTCCACGAGGTGGTGTAATCTTCTTCATGCTACTTTTCAACGCCCTTCTCGCTCTCGCTGAGCTTACGTCTGCTTTCGAATCCCGACCCATTCTACTGAAGCACAAGACCTTCTCCTTCTATCGACCGGCCGCCTACGCCATTGCGCAAACTCTAATCGACATGCCCCTTGTCCTGGTTCAGGTGTTCATCTTCGACATTGTTGTATACTTCATGGCCAATCTTTCGCGAACAGCATCGCAATTCTTCATTTCACTCCTCTTCCTCTGGATCATCACGATGACGATGTACGCCTTCTTCCGAGCTATCGGAGCTTTGGTAGGGTCCTTGGACGTCGCAACTCGGATTACGGGTGTTGCAATTCAGGCGCTTGTCGTATACACCGGCTATTTGATCCCTCCGGCGAAGATGCATCCCTGGTTCTCGTGGCTACGTTGGATCAACCCCATTCAATACGGCTTCGAAGGTCTCCTAGCGAATGAGTTCTACAACCTCGAGATCCAGTGTGTACCCCCGTTCATCGCGCCACAAATTCCTGGTGCCCAGGAGCAGTATCAGTCCTGCGCTATCCAAGGCAACAGGCCTGGATCGCTTACAGTCGCCGGTCCGGATTACATCTCTGCAGCGTTTGGCTACAGCAGATCACATCTCTGGCGCAACTTTGGCTTCATCTGTGCCTTCTTCCTCTTCTTTGTGGCGCTAACTGCTTTCGGTATGGAAATCCAGAAGCCCAACAAAGGTGGAGGAGCTGTCACTATCTACAAGCGCGGTCAAGTACCCAAGACTGTCGAGAAAGAGATGGAGACCAAGACCCTACCCAAGGATGAGGAAGCTGGTAATGGCGAGCCGATCACCGAGAAACACTCCAGCGACAACGACGACTCTGACAAGACGGCTGAGGGTGTGGCAAAGAACGAGACAATCTTCACATTCCAAGACATTACCTACACTATCCCATACGAGAAGGGCGAGAGAACGTTACTCAAGGGCGTGCAGGGCTTCGTTAGGCCCGGCAAGCTTACTGCGCTGATGGGTGCATCGGGTGCCGGTAAGACGACATTGCTAAACACCCTTGCCCAGCGCATTGACTTTGGCGTTGTTCGTGGAGACTTCCTGGTCGATGGAAAGCCACTTCCGCAATCCTTCCAGCGTTCGACCGGTTTCGCAGAGCAGATGGATGTACACGAATCTACAGCGACAGTACGCGAGGCACTTCAATTCTCAGCGCGGTTGAGGCAACCGAAGGAAGTACCCATCCAGGAGAAGTACGACTACGTCGAGAAGATTATCGATCTTCTTGAAATGCGCGACATTGCTGGTGCAGCTATCGGTACAGCTGGAAATGGACTCAACCAAGAACAGAGGAAGCGTCTTACCATTGGCGTGGAGCTTGCAAGCAAACCTGAACTGCTCATGTTCCTTGATGAACCTACTTCCGGCCTTGACTCTGGTGCTGCTTTCAACATTGTTCGCTTCTTGCGCAAGGTAAGTCCACCAATCTCGACATTCTAGGACGACTGACTAACTGGGCTGCAGCTTGCGGACGCTGGCCAAGCAATCCTCTGCACGATCCATCAACCCAGCGCGGTCCTCTTCGAGCACTTCGACCAGCTATTACTTCTCAAATCCGGCGGCCGTACAGTTTACTTCGGTGATCTAGGCCACGACTCCCAGAACCTCATCAAGTACCTCGAAGCCAATGGCGCCGACAAATGTCCCCCGCACACCAACCCTGCTGAGTACATGTTGGAAGCTATTGGTGCCGGTAACCCCGACTACAAGGGCCAAGATTGGGGTGACGTCTGGGAGAAGAGCTCAGAAAACGAGAAGCTCGGCAAGGAGATCCAGGATATCACCTCCAGCAGGCGCGATGCATCCAAGAACGACGAGGCTCGCGATGACCGAGAATACGCCATGCCATACCCTCAGCAATGGCTTACAGTTGTCAAACGAAGCTTCGTAGCCATCTGGCGGGATCCCCCCTACGTTCAAGGTATGGTCATGCTTCATATAATCACTGGGTTATTCAACGGCTTCACCTTCTGGAACCTCGGAAACAGCCAAATCGACATGCAATCCCGACTCTTCTCCATCTTCATGACCCTCACCATCGCACCTCCCCTGATCCAGCAACTGCAGCCTCGCTTCCTCAGTGTGCGCGGCATCTACGAGTCCCGCGAAGGCAGTGCTAAGATCTACTCTTGGACTGCCATGGTTTGGGGTACGATACTCAGCGAGCTGCCTTACCGAATCATTGCTGGAACTATTTACTGGTGCTGCTGGTACTTCCCGCCTGGCTTCCCTCGCGACACGTATACCGCGGCTAGTGTTTGGCTCTTCGTTATGCTGTTCGAGGTCTTCTACCTGGGCTTTGGACAGGCTATTGCGTCTTTCTCTCCCAACGAGCTGCTCGCGTCGCTACTTGTGCCGTTATTCTTTACGTTCATCGTATCCTTCTGCGGCGTGGTCGTGCCATACAATGCGCTACCCTCGTTCTGGTAAGGAATATCTACAGATCGATGTGAAATATGTACTAACTACGAGCGCAGGCAAAGCTGGATGTATTGGCTTACTCCCTTCAAGTACCTGCTTGAAGGATTCCTTGCGCTACTCGTCCAAGGTCAAACCATCCGATGCGAGACTAAAGAGATGGCGATCTTTCCACCCCCACCTGGCCAAGACTGTCAGACGTACGCCGGCCAATTCGCGCAGCAAGCAGGGGGTTACGTCGAAGCCCAGCCGGACGGGAACTGTGGGTTCTGTCAGTACGCAACTGGAGAAGCCTTCCTGGCATCCTTCAACGTTTTCCCGCAGTACATATGGCGTGACTTCGGCATTATGTGGGCGTATATTTTCTTTAACTTTTCCGTCGTCTTCATCTGCACTTGGCTGTACTTGGGCGGCCTACGCCAGATCAAGTCTTTCTTCAGCCCGGCCGCGCGCAAACAAAAGAAAGAGGCAAAGCAAAAGCAGAGCGGTGATGCAGCTTGATACAGAGATTTCAAAGATAGCAGATATTCGGCACAGTGTGTAGCGACATGCTTCGACGTCGACTGCGAAGACGCGGGTTCCGGAAAACTCCTAGCCTGCCCGCGGCCGGAACGCGCAAGGCTGGGAGACGCAGCTTTGGGACGGCCCATCCCAGCGCACTGTGGGGCTCATTTCCGCCTCGTGCATTCCCCGCGAAATGCCTCTTGGGGATCTAGAGCATGTGCTAGAGTTTCTCTGTACGTACAGGCTTGGTTCTAGCGTCCACCATAGTCACCCGTATAGCCAGCGGTGTAGCATTTAATAGTAATTTTGACAGCGCAGCTGTCATGTGTACAGACTGCAGTAGCTTCCACTGTACATTTGACGTGTGGAGTTATCATGGATGTGCTGGTCTCTGTCGTAGCTGTCGAGCCATGCGCGATTAACAAGACCGCTCACACGAGATGCTCGGCACTTTGACACATGCAAACCCAATCTTGCAGGTATCGGGTTAACAAGGCATCGTGAGAAGCATCGAAATGCCTCAGCTTTTCCGATGGGCAGCGCCGCCCGTCCGAGGCCCTTGATTTGTGCATCGTGAAATCGAAGGACTAAGCCGAAAGGCGTTCCATCATAGTGCAGGGGTCTGTGTGGATCGCAAACTGCACACGAGCTGGAACCGGAACTGTGGTATCTTTGCACCGCCTCCTGTGGCCGAGCTATGCTGTCGACTATTGATTATCGCGATGCGCAATATTGACGCGCATGTACTGATTGTGGTATGAGGCATTTCGTACTGTTCGTCCATGGCCGCTCTAGTCACCCTCCTAAACCATACCGAGGTCTACGATCAATAGCACAGCTTGTCCGGCGAGAAATAGGCCAAGAGTCGTTATAGCCGAAATGTTCGTAATGTGGCCCAATGAAACAATGACGAAAGGTCGTTGAGCCTTTACCGCTTGCAGCGAGCGTGAATGTGGGGTAAGTGCGATCAGCCCCTCCAGCCAATACCGACGCGCGCATTGCCGTTCACGCAGCTGTTACAGTCGTCACGAGGGCTCCGGTACTGCGAAAAGTCGTCGACCATGACACAACCGTGACCGCAGACCTCATCTTAGTCCTAGCTAGAGAAGAATAGAATTTGCCATTCCATGCGCGTCGTCGGCCTAAGCTTTGCCAGCCATAAAGCTGGGTGTCGTGGTTACACTTGCCGGGCGCTCCTTCCGAAGTCACCCAGCCCTCGTGCCCAGCTCCGCGTTATTTTCGTCCCTCGTGAGCCGACCGGCACTCCCACTACCCAAACACGCGCCATTACCCAATCAGCGACAGTAGCGCTAGCTTGTCCCCGGCCCAGCAGTGCCAGCCTGAGCGCAGACGACGTCGTCAGAATGGCTTCGAGTGGTATTAAAGCTGCCTCGGACCCCGTTGTTAGAACTGCATCCCCAGCTCCTTTGGCCCAAGACTTTGCCCGTCAACAGGTGTCAAAACAACAGCGTTCTAATTTCCATTCCTCTTCCATCTCTCCACTCATATCCTACACCATGGTTTCCCAAAGCGTCAACAAGACCAATCTCCACCCCTCCGGCGTCGCGTGAGTGCCATCTTTCTCAGGCCTGGGGTCAATTGAGTTGGATAAAACTAACAACTATCTCAAGGCCGAACAAGGAACACACGGAGATTGAAGAGTCCCTCCACGACAAGGCACACATCGACTATGACCGTGTAGCCATTGTAAGCTTACCTGGGCGTACAAACCTCAACTCAAATACTAACAATGCTAGATCGCCAACCCTTCAGTCGCCGCTCTCTACGAAGATGCGCTTGTATACGAGACCGGCTCAGCCATCACAGCCTCAGGCGCTCTCTCAGCATACTCAGGAGCCAAGACCGGCCGCTCACCCTCGGACAAGCGCATCGTCGAGGAGGACTCGTCAAAAGACGACGTCTGGTGGGGTCCAGTAAACAAGCCGATGAAGGCCGACGTAAGTCTTCTCCGCATTTCCTACGCATTAAACTTTTGTCTACGTCAAACCGCGGTATTGGCTTGTGAAATTTTGGCGGCAGACGTCATGTACGCTAGGCGCATACCCGAAGGAGTTCGCATCCCTGCACGTGGCGCGGTTCTGGGGCTCGGCTGCCCCGCATCGCGCCTGCATGACGGATCAACTTCCATCGATCCATCTGGAATATCATCACGTGCGCATCTTGAGCTCTTGCTGACATCCCATCCAGGTCTGGCGTATCAACCGTGAGCGTGCCATCGACTACCTCAACACCAGGAACCGCATCTACGTCGTCGATGGCTTCGCCGGCTGGGACAAGCGCTACCGGATTCGCGTTCGTGTCGTCTGCGCTCGTGCCTACCATGCTCTCTTCATGCGCAACATGTTGATCCGCCCTTCAAGGGAAGAGCTGGAACACTTTGAGCCTGACTACACCATCTATAATGCCGGTGCTTTCCCTGCCAACAGGTACACCAGCGGTATGACCTCGTCAACATCCGTCGCCCTCAACTTCGCCGACAAGGAGATGGTCATCCTCGGTACTGAGTACGCAGGAGAAATGAAGAAGGGGTTAGTAATATCCATGTACGAACTGTATGTGAGACAAATACTGACTTCGTACACTCATCTTTAGCATCTTCACTGTGCTCTACTACGAGATGCCTGTTAAGCACAACGTCCTGACTCTTCACTCTTCCGCAAACGAGGGTATCAAGAACGGCGATGTTACCGTCTTCTTCGGCCTTTCCGGGACTGGCAAGACCACCTTGTCTGCCGACCCCAAGCGTGCCTTGATCGGTGACGACGAGCACTGCTGGAGCGACACTGGTGTTTTCAACATCGAGGGTGGCTGCTACGCCAAGTGCATCGGTCTCTCTGCCGAGAAGGAGCCAGATATCTACGGCGCCATCCGCTTCGGATCCATTCTGGAGAACGTTGTCTTCGACCCAGTAACCCGTGTTGTTGACTACGACGACGACACCCTGACCGAGAACACCCGCTGCGCCTACCCCATCGAGTACATTGAGAACACCAAGATCCCCTGCATTTCAGAGGGTCACCCCAAGAACATTGTTCTCCTTACCTGCGACGCCCGCGGTGTCCTTCCTCCCATCTCCAAGCTCAGCCCCGAACAGACAATGTACCACTTCATCTCCGGTTACACTTCGAAGATGGCTGGTACCGAACAGGGTATCACCGAGCCCCAGGCTACCTTCTCTTCTTGCTTCGCTCAGCCCTTCCTCGCCCTCCACCCCATGCGCTACGCCAAGATGCTCGCGGAGAAGATCCAGCAACACGGCGCCAATGCCTGGCTCCTCAACACAGGCTGGGTCGGTGCCGGTGCTACCACAGGCGGCAAGGTAAGACATTCCCCCAACAAGGGTCATTCATAACACATGCTAACATCCCCACAGCGCTGCCCCCTCAAGTACACCCGCGCCATCCTCGACGCCATCCACTCAGGCGAGCTCGCCAACGTCGAATACGAGACCTACGAAACCTTCGGCCTCTCCGTCCCCAAGACCTGCCCCAACGTTCCCGACGAGCTCCTCAACCCCGCCAAGTCGTGGAACGGCACCGCCGACTTCAAGGGCGAAGTCGAGAAGCTCGGCAAGCTCTTCATGGAGAACTTCAAGAAGTACGAAGACCAAGCCACCAAGGAGGTCATCGAGAGTGGTCCACACGTATGCTGCTGCCCCAAGCACTAGACGGTTGTTTTCGGTTCCGACATGTTTTTCTTACGACTTTGACAGACTGACTAGCGGATTTCCACTTCGATGTTATTTTCCTTTACGTTGCAATCGAGCGGTCGAGCGGGTACCCTCCATCGACGTCAGCGACTGTGCTTTCCTCTTTCTTTTTTGATTGGATGGTTGTGGGCATGATGTGTGCCTGTAGATGGGATTCGATATGGTATCATGGCTTTATCTCTTTACTTTGCTAGATGCGTCTTATGAGCGCTTTGTCGCGTGTACATACACTTTTGGCGTTGGGTCCAGCTGAGCATTTCATGGCAGAAGACGAGAACGTAGCATAGCTGCTGTTGGAAGGGGAGAGAGAGAGAGAGAGACAAAATTATCATCATGTTCATCGAAGCGGTGTTCATTATGGTATAGGTGTGATTGAGACTGTACCACTCTCGGAAGATACTTGGACCGCTTTCGGAAGGTATCTGTCGAGAGTGGTACATCCTTATTCCACATCTATACCATAATGTATAGAGCTTTTGATGAAAGAATGAATCTTTTCAATCAAACACATTTACCGATGCTCTCTGTCTCAAAGGCGTGAGGGTATTAAACTGTTGACTTCGTGCTCTTGCCACTACTATTCGTTACTGCTATCTCAATACAAACCATTCCAACCCCCTCCCAACCATCCTCGTCTATCTCCCATCTCCCATATCCCCAATACACCACCCCTCACAAAACCGCCTCATCCATATTCCTAATCCACCCCCACATCCACATGACCGTATCCAAATGCGCCTGCACCCCCACCCTCTCATCCACCGTATGGATATTGCCCAGCCCAACCTGCTCCTTGTCCCAACCAGGTCCATACCGAAAGATATTCTCGCTCAAGTCCCAATAGTAGCGCGTATCAGTATTCCCAGTCATGATACCAGGACTCACAAGCAGATCTTTTCCGTAGAGGGCACGAGTTGTGCCGGACAGGATCTGGTAGGGCGTTGCTGTTTTGTTTGAGTGCGAGGTTGGTTCCAGGGATGTGGGTGTTACGGGCGCGGGTTCTAGCATGGTGGGGCCGTGGGAGAGGGTTATACTCGAGGGTGTCTCGGTGCCGTTGAAGGCGTGGAGGGTGAGGTTGTGTTTTTGCGCGACTTGGGCGGCGAGGGACGCAATGTGCGTCTTCACGGCTGAGGAGCTGGAACCGACGTTTATACGGTGGTTTACTGTGATTTGGGTTCGCTCGGGCAGGGCGTTTGTCTTTACGCCGCCGTGGATTATGTCGACGGCTACGGAGGTTGTAAAGAGGTATTTTATTCCTGGACCTGCTTTTGCTGCTTCAAGGGCAAGGGCGTCTTTTGAGGACTTCTTAGAGCATGTTAGACTGCGTTTGGAGCGCTTGTCGAGGAGTTTGCCGAGGTGATGCGGGAAGTCTGGGGCGTGCGAGGCGCCGCATTGGAGGAGGCCCAGGTACGGGTTCTCGTCTGCGAGGTGCGGCTCGTAGGCGTTAGCTTCGATTAAGGTGATGAGCTCGCTGGCTACGCCGATGCCGTTGTGTGCGGGTGGGATACTGCTGTGGCCGCCGGGCATGCGCACAACGATGTCCACGTCAATGTAGCCTTTCTCGGCGACACCGGGGATGGCGAAGTTTGCGCCCCAGCTTTCGACATTTACCGCGCCTTCGTCGATGATAGCGGCGATGGAGTTGTGGCCGAGCTTCTTCAATAGGTACTCTGAGAGATGGCCTGCACCTTCGCGACCAGAGATCTCCTCATCGAACCCAAACGATAGGATTAATGTCCGCTGAGGAGTAAACCCAGCAGAAATCAACGCCTCGACGCTATTCAAAATAGCCAACAACTGGTTCTTACAGTCGCTTGCACCCCTACCCCAAACAAACTTCCCATCGTAATGACCAGAAAACGGAGGATACGTCCACTGCTTAACCGTAGAGTCCGGAACAGGCACAACATCCTGATGCGCCATGAGCAGATTAGGCTTCAAACTCGCATCCGTGCCAGCCCACGTATACAGCAAGCCATGCGTGTTGACCTTGTCCAACTGCAATGTCGCATGCGTCAACGGGAAAGTCTTCTCGAGGTAGTCGGCAAAGGAGTACATAATGTCCCAGCGCGGGTCGGATCCAATTTCGCCCATGTCGTCGTAGCTTTGCGTGGGGATTTTGACGGCGCCTGATAGGCGCTCGATGGCAACGTCTCGGAAAGCATTGGACGTCAGGTAGCTTTCCATCTCATCCAACTCTTTCGTCTTCCTCGCTGGGAACAGGGGTTCGACCTGAGGACATTGCGCCTTCGAATTGACATCGCCTGAACGGGATGGAAGCTGCCATGGCGATGATACAGGAACGGTGATGTGACGTAAGAAAGCCAAACCCGCCAAACAAAACAACGCGCTTCCAACGAATTGACGGTAGTAAGAGCGACCACACTGCTTCGATGGAATGGGAACAGGCGTTTGCGTTCCCCAATTCTTGCCCGCCATGGTGATGCTTGGTTGATGGTTAGAGTCTTGGTGTGTCTTGGTTATCGGATGTTGCGCGGGGATAAGTGGTGGTGCGTTTACGACTAGTCTCAATCAGGAAGGTATGTACATGGCTTTGTCAGTATTTATCGGATCGACGAGATAGTCGTATCTATGTCGCTGTTTGTTTGTTGTGTATGTCGGAAAATTATCCGGCTCGCGTTCACTTATCGGAGGGCGGAGAGGTTGTTGTGCATAGGTGGCATTTCGTGGTTGAAGCCTACTTCAGAAGAAGACGTCATTTTCTTATCATGGCCTAATTTGGCATTCCTGCTTCACAGCTAATCACCGGCTAGTCGTTTGATCGGAGACACCCCATGTCCAAATCTGTCACCATATACTGCTACAATGAACCCTCTGGCCACTTGTACTCCGGCCACGGGAAATCTGGATCGAACTTCTGCTGAAGCACAACACTTCCCGCCGGAAACGTCTTCCGTGAGCTATCAGGCATATCCACCGGCTGCGCCTCATCAACAAAGGTCCACGCTGCGAACAGACCAGTAGCCCGCGCAATCTCGTCCTTGAGCTTCCCAAGTTTATCTGGCTGGGGAGAAAAGTTCTCAAGCAGAGCTTTCTCCCTAGTCTCCTCAAATTCTCCTGGTTCAGCCGTCACTTCCACGTCTTGATCACGCTGTTGCTCTCTCATATCCATTCCACCGCAATCCGACACCAAGGGCTGGAAGAAATCATTCTTCAACGGTCGCTCCACTTCAGCATTGTCCAGATCCTCGTCGATGTCGATATTGGCAATCTCGTAGTTGATGTACGTCAGAGCCAGACATTCCGTCTTCACAAGGAGCTTCACGACCACTTGCGTACTTTCTGCTTGCCCCTCTTCCACCATTTCGTCGTCGGCAAAGGCATCCACGTACCAGACTGCACCCCTCTTCACTGCGTCTTCGTCAATGACGACGAATGGAGATTCTCGGCCTGCTTCGTTTTCTTTGGCGCGCATATATTGATGGGATTTGCCGATGTAATCATCGGGAGGTTTTGTGATCTTGAGCTCAAGCAGTGGCTGGAATCGAGAGCAGGCGCCGAGTTCAAATTCTGTCTTGACTTTTGCTAGCTCGTTGTCGTTCAATGGAGCCAGAAGATATGCTATGAGGCATGTGACGTCGAAGGGGGGCGAAATGAAAACCATGATAATGGTGAGTTTGGTTGTAGTAGAAGGGGTTGAATGTGAGCATTACAAAGGGTTGGTATTTCCTGACTGTTTATTTGTGATGCATACTGCATAGTGGTCCTCGCGTTGCTAAAGACTTTGATTTCTGCAATGCAGGAGACCAGCGATTGGCTACAGTTACGCTCGCGCAGGCAGCAATATTGTTGAGGGCCCTGTATTTAGCGGCTCGACTTAGCTTGAGATCGGCACTACCAATCTGGAAACGTTAGGCTCTTCAGCAATGCACTCATAGGCTAACACGATCATGTCGCACACCGAAGTAGATCTCCAATAACTGGCACGCCGCAAGGCCAGGCTCCAGTTCGAGTCGAAGTCGCCTACTCTTCTTGATTTGGGGTGTTTGTAGGTAGATCACAATGCGTATCATGACTCCAGAACTTGTGTCGCATTTAGCCTCGACGGGATCTTCATTGTACCCAATGCTGACCTGTCGTGGCAGTGGATGCGTCGTCGCATGTCCTCCCAGATTGAAACGAGCATGCACGATACGGAGAGAGTACAGGATGGCGAGAAGTACGAGACACCAATCATCGCCTATCCCGCAAAGCCTATACCCGTGTCAATACAGTATCTAAGTCCTGAACACTATCAGCGCACTCTCATCCGGCGAAGGACCTATATCCGGCCAAATTTCCGTCTGGCACCCAGCTGCCCTCCGAACCATGTCCCTCTCCAGAAAGTTCGCCAGCTCCAGACTATCCCAAAGTATCTCTCTTCTCCTCCGCGACCGCAGCATACTAATAATCCTCTGCCGCACTGCCACATCAGTGCAGAAAACATATAGCTGGAACAACGCTGTGGTGAGATCCGTTTTGAGTCCGTAGAGTGGTTGTTTCGACTTACTCCACAAGCGATCGAGGTCGTTGAGTAGGTGACTGCATTCTACAGCGTCGAGTTGACCAGTGGGCTGGTTGTCGCAATCGAATGCAGGGCTTTCCTCTGCTAGTAGCAACTCCCAGAGTTTGTACTGAATTTTCAGATTGACAATTCTTTCTAGATTTCTTGCGTATTCGGCTGTGCCTACTAGGTCCTTTACCATGGCCCGGAATTGTATGTCCCATACTCGCAATTGTTGTCGTAATATTGCCCATTGCTTTTCGCACTCGGAATTGTTATGGTCCTGATCCTGCTCCAAGTCCCACGAGATGTGCGTGACGACATCATCAAACGTGTTCAACACATCTTCCGCCTCGACGAGATCCCGAAGCTTTCCAGCAGGTTTGTTGTACTTCTTTTTCGGGGCCATGAATGGCGTGATGTTTGCGAATATACGGTTTGAGGAGAAGAGGCCGACTTGGCTGCCAATGGCGTGGAATATGGCTGCCAGTTCCTCGATATCATGGTTAGGTAGGTATGTGCTGGGTTTGTGGTTCGCAATGAGTTCTGTCCCAGACTTGATGTGCCGAATCGCTTCGCTGAAGTTGCCGCGTAGACTCTCGAGAATGGCAAACAAGACGCAACATGTCAGGATAGTGACTAGATCGGTTGGGGAATGGTTCGCGATGCCTCCTCCGTGTATCAGACCAGATATGGCATCATTGTAGTGCGACAGGGTAAAAGCTTCAAGACTTGATGGCTTGTCGTGGTCGCATGTTGTGAATTGCCAATGGACGGCGCCAAGAGCCATGACTGCATGTCGTACACACGAGACGTTTTGGCTAGGGTCCTGGATGGCCTTCTGCCAGAAGTTCTTGTTCAAAGATTCAGATATCTCCAAGTCGTGAATCGTGTTGGTGAAGAAGTGAGTGTAGTAGTAGGTTTCCAGGGGATGGCCTGGTACCAACAGCGTTCTGGGAAGATCGAAGATCGAAGATCCACTTGAAGAGCAAACGGTTCGGATAGGCTTGGGTGCCAGCACTGGCGCGTTCGGGGTCTGCCATTTTTTTAGAGGCGCAGACGCGTAGCCATCGCAGACGAAGCCGGCTAAAGTGCATCTTTGACATGTGGGTTCAGTCTCGTCGCATTTCTTCCGTCTTTGCTTGCTGGGCGAATTAGGTAAACCAGGTGTTACGGGGTGCGACAAACCACACTGCTGACCTACCAGGTGATACAGCCTGTACGCGTCTTGTGGGAGAAGGCTCTAACCCTCCGTGCGCCTGATGGTGGCTTTGTGTTTTGCATCGCGTATATGCAGGGGAAAGTGTGCATACATCCTACTTTAAGGGCCAGAGATTGGCAGGACCGGGCTCCAGCCCACGGGTCTGAGTCAAACGCGTATGTTCTGCACTGTTGATACAGGAACCTTCGATGGGAGATCTGCCAGCCCGTACGCGGTGAGTCGGGAACTTTGGTCGCTGCGCGTTGGGCAGCTTCGCTCAGGATATGATTGGCCTCCTATACGCGCAGGCCCACCAGCTGCTATAACGGGACTAGCGCACGACTCGCCAAGCACATCGAAGTCCGCATGAAGCCGAGCTACCTTTCTTTGGTCGCAAACCCTGAAAGCATCTAGACGGTGTACATGTTGGCTGAGTCCGAACTATGTGGCTAGGTACATCCGCAGGGCGAAGCAAGAGCATAAGCGTTAGGCTCCAGGGCGCAGAGGTGGCTGAGCTCCCGAAAGAGAACGCGAGACAATCAGCCCTGCATAGGTGACCCTTATCGTCTAGGGCTTTTCCTCGTTCCATCTAACCTCCTCTCACGATACCACATTGGCCAAGAACACAACTATCGCCCTATCTCCAGCTCAAAACATGACCGATACCCAACGATTGAAACCCACGATGGCTGTCGCTCCAAGCCAGGAGAGTTCACCCTCAAAGTTAGATGCATTCCTATCAGTCCACCCCGAAATCCACATTGGTCGCGCCGCTCTTGAAAGCCTCCAATCTGCCCACGATGGCAGCGACTCATTCTCCATCATCAACAAGCCGTTCGTAAACATGGTGCTGTATCAAGAGTTCGATGCGGATACGAGAGAGCGCATATACGTCGTCGCATTGATTGACGACCAAAAGGCTCTTGATCAATATGAACAAGATTGCGGTGGCGCTTCGAACGAAGATGGATGCGATTGTGCAGAGAACCAAGAGCCCGAACACATGATTTACGAGCGTGTCGTCGAGTACAAGAGCGCGGATTGCGAGAACCACAAGGATGAGCCAGAGCCGGACCCTGATTGTTCTGAGTGTTGGCCGGTTCTGTGTGGGAGTAAATGCGCTCCTTGAAGTGCCTGGGTGACGAGCAGCAGTCACAAGTTGAAGGTCCTGTACCGTTTGATTTCGTAGATCTTAATCTGTTTCGAAGGAGATTAAATGTAACTGTCGAAAGCGTATCGTCTCCACTTCTTGTAAAATTGATCGGATGATGGCTGTTAGTAGACAACCGGGCAAAAAGGTGCAATCCAGTAATGGATGGATTTCACTAGTTCTCTGGAGGCTGTTTTGGGTTTATTTGTAGACTATTACAGCAAACATACATCCAGACGAGCTCACTCTTCCAAGCAACGACGTGTATTGGGGTTTTGTCAATGCATGCACTTAGGAAACTAAGCTATGAGATATAAATTGACCTGCGATAATCGATGTTCTCATAATGCAATGAGTAGACGTGATAGAACGATGAATGGTATAAACAGGAGGAATACTACAGCGGTAGGCGCATTGAGAGCGCTGGCGCCGCTCACTTGTATCACTGACACTGCTTTTAGCGTGAACTTCGAGGCTTGCTAACGAGTGGCCTTTTAAGAACAACTATTACCTGGTATGTTGCTGCTAGCTGGGATGCCGTCAATAGTGGATTTCACAAAGTCGTATCCGAGATCCGTTCGAATCCCCTCAGGGTTTTTGATCTCAGCGTCCTCATCTTGAGAGATTGTTAGCAAAGCTGCGGGCTTAGCCCGGAAGTACAACTTACACCACAACTCATAGGCCTCCGGATGGGGCCCAACAAGACCAACAAAGCCTTTACCGTACGGCGTGACTGAGGCAGCGACATTCTGGTTGGCAGAGTATCTAGCAACAATTCCACGGTCAGAGTCGTTGAAGCCTAGCATCGTTGCGCCTTCTTGGAAGTACGCCCATCTTGCCTTCTCCAATTTTGGGCTACCAGTGCTAGCATTGAACTTCCAATCGACTTGAATCGTGGTATCTCGGTCGTCGTTAACCTGTGCTTTGTCTTGCAGTATTTCGGATCCGACGTCGATACCGCTGGGCATAAGATCGAGTACCGACTTCCCAGCAAGATAGGCTCCCAGGCAGAATCCTATGTACCGACCGCCGCCGTTGACAAATTCTCTTATCGTCTTCGCATGCGTTTTGAGCTCATCCCAAGCTTCGTCAAGATCTGTGAAATCATTCTTAGTCTCTTGTGCTTACTTCAAAGTCAAGACGCGCTACGTTCTCATCATTGGACTAGGAAATACTGACCTGGTCCACCAGGATATGCGTAGAGATCGGCTTTAGAGAGAAGAGAGGGGCTGAGGTCCACTTCTTCGTCCGGTCCAGCATACGTGACGTTGAAGTGGTAAGGGGAATTCATGAGGAGTCTGCCGACACTCTCGGAGCAATTGCCGCAAGCGCTGGATCCACGGTAGACGATGGCTGTCTTCATAGCTGCGACAGCGGGTAATGCTGGGAGCAGTACTAGACCATGTGCAATTCTCATCTTGATCCGAGTAGTCGAGGAGTGCTATGTTGCGCTTGAAAGAAATATGTAGGTTGATGGAATACAATAATGTAGGTGTGCAATGTGTCGAGTTTTATACACACGGCTTTATCTATGTATGTACAAGAGGGGATGGTACCTTGATGTTCCTCGGGCGGGCCTCCCGCCCTATGCGCGACACTCATGAGGCCCACCATACCTAGGTATGAAAAGCCTCCACTACAGTCATCGCGCGAGCGCGTATATGATTGCTGGGCGAGAGGATCAATACTTAGATTTCGCTAGCAAATAATCAGGCCGACACTGAACTTCGCTGTCGGCTCAGCATCAGGCTGTGTCACGCGTCGAACGCAGATCATTTGTGGTGAGATGAATTGAATGGTGGAAGCGTATAGCTGGCTAATCAGCGACTTGCTGATATCATAAAGTGATGTAAAGGTAGCACCGGGCAATTGCTCTCAAGATGTAGGCGTCGGCCCCTGACTGCGCGTAAAGCCGGCCAATCAACGACTTCGGCCCCACCTGAGGAGAGAAAAACCTTGGAAGTGTCACATCTCCATCTCACACCTATTCGAGTCCAGCAACTCTCTCGCATCAGAACTTACGTGATGGCCCCTCCTCGTGACGCTCTGGATCTCAGAGCTACTCAGTTGTCTGTTGGCGTAGCATAGCAAGCTGCTTCTGGTAATCCTCCTTTGCTTGCTTTGCCTCGTCGATTCCCCAGCGCCCATCCCTCTCCAGTGTGTATATCTTCTCTATCTTTTTAATTTGCCGCAGGTGGGCTTCTGCCTCGGGCCCAAGAATTCCCAACAAAGTACCAGCCGGAAGGTCTTCTTTCTTACGGATGATCTCACGCCACTCGTCGGTTTGGCCATATTTTGGCGCGTGTTTATTGAAGTCGGACGCAAGTGCGCCACTGTCGCTTGCGTCGAATCTCTCTCCAAAACGAACCCCGTCGCGCAAGTCAACATTCAGGCAACTACTGATGTAGCGTTTGACCTTTGGAGGCATGTCTCGAAATCTAGACTGGTACTCTAGTACCTTGATCATGTCGACAAGAATGGTGCCTTTTGGTAGCTTGAATCCGATGTCGGCTAGACCCTGCCGTGTCAAAGTCGGTCGATGGAAACAGACGCAGATTGTTGGATACGCTGATGACAAGTCACGGAACAACTTTTTGAGACCCGCGACGGCCTCATTGGTCGATACAAAGCTGGATTGGGGAACGTTTGGTCTCCCGTTCCATTTGGACGGCGCCCAGAATCGGTACTCGTGCGCTTTGTTCTGTCTTTCATCGCTTTGATCCTCAGTGCTTGATACTGCTGGGGATGCTGGGGTGGTGATTTCCACAGACAAGACTCGCATCGCTTCTACTTGCTTCCAGTAGCCCCTCGCCTCGTTACAGGATATCCAGCCGTTCCAGAAATAGGCCAGACCAGACGGAGCCCACTCTATTGATACCAGAGCGACATGCGATTTCTCCCAGCAGCGAGCCAGGGTTTCGTTTTCTGTTGCGCATTCCCGTATTCTCTTCATCTCGCTTTCAGCGACGAGGCCAGTCGGTGGTATCATGGCAATCACTGGACGAGTTGGTTTGATGCTGTTGGGATGTAAGTAGCTGTTGGGAAAAAACCTAGCAGCACTACAACAACTTACACAGTAGATGAGCCGGAAACTAGAAGAGTGTGAGAAGTTCGCATGTCTAAGCGCGGTAAAGAGAGGAAAGAAATGGGCAAGAAACGAATTCCATCAAACGCCACTATCGAAGAGTTGTTCTCCGACTAGCGCTTACGCTCTGAGAACAGAATTTTCATGTGATGATGTGGTCAAAATCAACACTACCTATCAACCCCAAGGCAGCAGCACAGCCTCGTAACACATGATCCCGAACTCATGGTGGCTGAGTCGATGCCAAGGAAATTTTACCAACCTGATCGACCTTGGCCAACAGGAACTTGTACACTGGACATGATACTAAGATGAGTGGAAGCCCTATGCGCGCTGTCATGTGCGAGGTGGGGCTGGCGCACATTAGGTCATTGGGCGTAACACCCCGGAGGAAAGAAGCCACCTATCAACACCTTCACATTGAGCATCATCTTTCTCAGACCAACAAGACACTCGCATTATCCTTGTAATTATCATATTGTATACATTAGAAGAGTTTTAGACTTACTTTCACTTATCGCGTAGCGAGGAGGCTGCTAGTGCAAACGGTTTATCTCTTATTGAATGTTTACTTTAGTCGTGCAGACTACACTGTCTCAATAATCTGTGAATACATGTATCAAAACCCAGCCAGACGATCACCAATAGCTCCAGCCGTGTCGAATATCGCGATGTCCCGCCAAAGTAACCGTCTCGCTCCCCTTCCCTTGTCGCAATCCGTCTTTGACCGTACCATGTATCCACCTGGGTATGTAGACGTCTACTGAACGGGAGGTCCTTGCATGTTGCTCAATTTCTCCTGGAAAGGCTGTTCGCGCATCTGAATCCAGAACTCTGGCCATTCGTCCCTGAGATGGCCTGTCGGTGATGAGAAAGCTCACGGTCAGTCTCTTCTAGGCAAGCGTTTTGAGCAGTGCGAAATCCATGCAAAACCAATCTCGGCTGTCCAATTCAGACTGATACTTACCGATGAGATTGACGAAGCCCGAACGAGGTGTGAGCCTGTAACCGCCTTCGAAGGGCTCGAAGTGGTCCGCGGCGCTACCAGGGTGGACTTGATCGAACATGGTCCTGATGTCGGTCAAGGTAACTTGGTTACCGGATTTGAGGAAAGTGAGGATTCCAGGGAGGTGGCCCGCTTTGGTGGGGATCAGATCTGAAACGACGTTTGGCATTGTTGTTGGGATTTGTATGCTTGGATCTGTTGTAAAGGGTGGGAAGAGAATTGATGATGTTGAGCTGTGTTTCTCGTTCTAAAAAGTGTGGTGTTTATGGAAGAGGGATACATGGTTCCTGATGGCTTGTTTATATACTGGGAGGGAGGGAGATATCTCAAGAGCGCATGAGTGGGCTTTCAAGGTGAGTGAGAGAGTGACTGCACGTGGCCAAGTCTTGTGGAAGGAGTATTCTGAATAGTGCTGCAATACGCAAGGAAAAAAAATAGGTAGCTATGTCTTGATAATAGTAGAACAATAGCGCGTGATCGAAAAGGTGTGTACTCTCTCCAAGTTCCCAAATTGCGTGTCATTGTGTAGGTGCTCGTGCAACTATCTAAGCGTAGATTCATGAATGGATACATTCGGAAGACTACAGATTCGGTGGAAATATTTCACTACAATGACACCGCCTAAATAAGGTATTTCCTGGAGAGATCTGAAAGGAACATGGGATAATGATTAAACACATCTACGAGAAACGCGACCTATACCGTCTGCTGTCAAAATTGAATGAGTGGAATTCCGAGATGAGCAATAATCACTTATTGTGCGCGGAACCATTGTTTGTGCAAGTCGTGTTTGGTATTGAATGAGAGTAAACTCCACCACTTCAGTATAACCCAATTACCAGTCCACCATGAGAACGAAAAGACATTATCGCATCACCATATCCAATTTCCCCAATTTCCCGTAAAAGTAACAGTATCGTCAGGCCGTTTCTCCTCACAGCTCCAGGCTGCGGGTCTACGACCGCACGGTTCGTCTAGGTAGGATGGGGATTCTGGGCCGTCGGATTGTCAACATGCCTATTGCTCAAGTACTCCGGGATTCGATCAAAGTGCAACTGGACCCAGAAGTCAGGCCAGTTGTACTTGAAGAAACCTAATGATCAATAATAGTTAGCTTGTATTAACCATGCCTTGTAAGATATGCCTCGTAAGTGCAAAATTAACGCAGTTCCTCGGCTCATGGTCACACGTACCAATGGAACTTTCGAAGCCAGTGTTGGCATCGAGTTTATAGCCGCCGCCAGGGAGCGCCTCGAATTGCTCGTCTGAGCTGTTTTGTACATGAGTGTCGAGAGCTGTCCTGACTTGGGTCAAGGTAACTTGGTTGCCCGATTGGAATAGAGCGAATATTGCCTGGTACTGGAGGTTTGTGAGGGGTGGGGCCATCTTGAGTGGAGCTGGTATACAGGAGCTTGGTGGAAGCAGGGGTAAATGGTGTTTGGCAGTAGTGAGATGCTTGTTTCTCGTCTTCGAATGTGTTGTGAAGTGAAGTGGTATACACGCATATTAAAAGCAGCTTTTATGCTGCGCTTGAGTCAGATGTCCTGGATGTTAAGTGACTCGATTTATGAAGCTAGTAAGAGAGTGACTGTTACTGAGTGAGGGACCATTCTGGGGAACTGACTATACCCAAAGCGAGACGTGCCAGTCACGGTGTTGACTGGAAGGAAACCGGTTACCTGAGAGTAGGGTTGCTAGAGTAGACATAGCAGAACAAGGGTGCCATTTTTTGGTACCGATCAGTACCGTATCACTGTATACGTGCGCTTGCGGGGACCTCAGCTCAGTGTTGGCGGAGAGTTGGAGGACGCGCCCGAACCCCTCGCTCCTACCATTGCGGGTCACCCCAACCACTATCTGGCTGTGGCAGATGCGCGTCCAGATCTTGGCTCCTATGGCAGTCGTCGTCTTCGATCTTGTACTCTTGACTCCCGCAGTTGTCATCTTCGATCTCGCACTCCTGACTCCCCCAATCATCTCCTTCTTCACACTCCTCAGTTGCCCCTTCTCCAGCCCTGCGTAGAGCGACAGCGTCAGCCTCCGCCAGCATCTCACCCAACCAAGCCCGCAACATCTCGCCAGCGTTACGCACGACGCCTAAGCGAAAGCAATACCGGGCGACTGCGTTGCCGCCCAAGCTGTCAAAGACACGCGAGAAGGTTGACTGAGGCACCTCCATCCAGTCCACCTCTTCTTCCCGCTCCAACAAACAATGTCCACCGTCGTTCTGCTCCTCCCCCTGTACAATCAATCTCTTCTCTTTCTCTCTTACCTCCTGCTCTAGTCTTTCCCCTTCCATCCTCTGCGCCTCAACCCATATCCCCATATCATCTAGCTGCCCCTGCAGCCCACAAACACCGCCCTCCACCAGCCCCAATAACCCCCCATAAACATCCCTCTTCCCCCTAACCGCCCACACCAACTGGACCCCCTTCCCCCTCGGCGTCAGAAATCCATGCGCAAAAAAATTCCTATCACGTCTAACATCACTCGCCGCACCCAGCGGATCCGGTAAACCAAACGCATGACAGCCCCAATCACTATTCACGGTGCGCAGGTTCTCGTTGATGGAGATGTGGTGCATGGCAAACGCACATTGTGCAGTTTCCAACGCTGTCAGCGTAGCCGACTGTCTGGTATTACTCTCGTGGATTGCGACAAGGGCTGCATCGGGATAGGTGGATAAGATGGACAGGTTAGCGGTTAGGTGTTTGCGGAGGGTGTAGAAGTATTCTAAAGAAAGGATAACGGATTTGCACGAAACATAGGTGGGGTGAGTTTCTTGGGTCAGTGTGCCGCTGGGGGAGAGGGTGTAATAGTGGATTGTTGCGCGGTAATTTGGGTAGTTTGGGTCGAGGTCTTGGATCTCGTTTGGCGACTGGGTGGGGAGAGGGGTGAGGTTAGCGAGGCCGTCTGATGTTATGGTGGGAGAGCTGTTGATATCTGGTGTTGGGGACGGGGACGGACAGGCAACATCATGCCTAACCCCAGGCGCAACATTTGATGCTGAGCTGTTAGCGAGATCCAGCACAGTAGGTGGCCCTATACTTGTACAAAACTCAGTCGACATGGTTGTTAACCCAGATTCTGGTCTGGGACTGACTGTATTCGATTTATCATGTATACTCAAGGTAAGCATCTACATCTCTTGCGCGCACTGTGAGTAGAACGACATTGTGGGCGTATATCGTACTTCATATATTCGTCCAGACACTGTGAAGTCAGAAGACTTGAACCCCAGATACAACAATCCGACGGTAGCGTGTCGTCGTCATCTTACTGACGTCCTTCTCAGTGTCGTGCTGGCGCCCAAGCTCAGACCAGACCAAGCTCCAACGTTCATCCCATGCCAAACGGTCTTCGTCCGAGAACAACATTGTACTACTCATGTTCGTCCTCGCCCTCACTGTCGTCATGGATCATGCCATGTAGTCCTTCCGTTTCAGCACCGATCAGAGGAGCCCTCTCACCCTCGTGACGCGCGAGATGGCCTCCGATACTGACAGCCAGAGTACTAAAGCCATGGATCATAGTACTGCCGAGCACAATGAAGCAAACAAGGGGCCATATCACAGTAGCTGTCCGTTGTCGCTCCACGGGCAGATCCTTAGGCGGATGCGGAAGAGGTAGGGATGTACCAGTCTCGAGCTGCGCACGGGCTTCGATGGCTAGGAAGAGGGCACCGACACCCATTGGTCCAAAATGTCCGACAAAGAGAGCTTCAGTTGTAGTCTTTACGGATGGCAACATTTTCGACTTGAAAAGCGTGAAAACAATCGGAATTCTGCGGAAGAGTAGAATGAGTGCGAGTAAAGCAACCAATCTGAGAGGGGTGATCCCGTCCACCGCGTTGAAGCTCGCCCAAGGGATCATTGCACCGAAGAAGATGAAGAAGGCCGAGTTGATCAGCAAGTCAATGATCACAGGTAGAGCGGTTCCTTCTGTCGGATTCTTTTGGTTGTGCGCGAAGCCACGTCCTGCGAAGAAGGCCACTAGGAAGTCGTCGACTCCAAGAACCGATGCCAGTCCGATAGAGAAGATGGCCAGGAGGAGGTAGAAGGCCAGGTAAGAGGCTCGACCCATCCACTCGCGGCTGTGCGAGAACCTGTACAGGCCGTTGAAGATGTATCCCAGGGCGATACCGAGGAGAACGCCTACCACGCACTGGTACAGTATCGTAACAAGGAACCATTTCGTGAAGAAGCCTTTAGCGGTGTTCTTCAGGAGAAGGCTCAACCCCAGATACAAGAACGGGAAGGATATGCCGTCGTTGCAACCACTCTCCGCGCTCAACAAGTCCCTAATCCGCTTGGGTACTCGGGTGCTGAACTGGCTGTTTGACAGAACGGAAGCCGCGAGAACAGGATCCGTGGGGGTGAGACAGGCCGATATCGTCAAAGCAGTCTGGAAGTCTGTGTCGAACAGGAACATGATGAGCATTCCGCACATCAGCCAGCCGAACGTCATGACAGGCCCGAGAAGAACAAGCAAGGCACGCCATTTCTTTTGGAGATAGCCTGCGGGAAGCTCCAGACCGACTACGAAGCACTGAATCCCGACGATGAGACGCGTCAGTTCTTGGATAATTTCATCCTGCGACGATTAGTATTGTTTGTTTGTATGAGGAGCACACTTACGGAAAAGCCCCATTCATATGGCCTGAGGAGGTTGAGAGCGCGTGGTCCGACCATCTGTCGGTCTCGTTAGAAAAAGATTCATTCTTAAAGATGTCCGTACTTACGATACCGAAAAGCGTGGCTAAAGGCGGTTCTGAGAGATGCAGGCGGTTCCGGATCATAAGCGAGAACAGCGCGTACAAGATGAGAAAGAAGGTCAGGGTCACGTAAGTAACGTGCGGCCCCGTGGGCTCGAGTTGAGACCAGACCATGATGCTTTACTGTTGGTTAGAGGCACGCGTGCAATTGTGGTGAGTGAGTTGAAGTCTCTGCGAAGCTTGGGCGAGAGTAGGCGTTCTATGATCGCCGTGACGTCGAAGGTAAATGGCGAACTCTGGAACACCGCAAAGAAAGCGCGCGCTGGAAACACAGCGGAGATTCACGCACGAAGACCTCGGGCGGCGAATATCACAGGGACCTGAAGTGCAGGATTAATGGCGCGTTCGATCAGGTGTCGAGCGCGAAGGATCACGCTGCATGGAGGTGCGCATCGATGACGAAGGTTGGCTGGATTGGGCATTGCGCTCGGACCGTAGTTGCCGGAAGTGGTGGCACCTTGCATGCTGAACCACACTACCAAGCATTCCAAGGTTAGGTGTGATGGATGTTCAGAAAGAACAGTAGAGATGGCGTGTGAGTGCATGTTTGCGGAGAATTATGGCCCTATCATATGTATGCACCAGTCCCGAATGCGATATATGCAGCTAGGTCAAGCCACTATCTCCACGTGAGCACGCGAGGTAATCAATTGCTCTACTTTTGTGAATCCAGCGCCTCCCTTGAATATGGATATGCCCAACGCCGCTCCCACGCGGTGATGCTACTCAATCTGGCCATGCCAGGCGGCTGCTATTAAAAATACATGCAAATTACAGTGAAACCAATGGATGTGATTATGGGAATTGTCGGCTATGCGTCGTCCGGTGGGTTGTTGAAGAAGGCGAATCGTATCCTGTGGAGCTGGGGAAGTTAGTAATGCTTCGTCTGAAGAGTCTTGGGGTGCATACCGAGGGGAGCTTTGGAATGACGACTGCTATGGTCGCAAAGCAGTTGATGAGGAAATACGTCAGATTGTAATTCGTGTAGTGCGTGCTGACGAGAAACAGCACAATGGGTACGCTGAGAAGGAACTTCTTGGCTGGTGTGTATTGTTCGCCGTTGTCAATCTGTTCCCACATGTTCAAGTTGTCGTAGGCGCCCGAGTTGAAGTCGAAGGGCACACCGCGCACGTAGTGGAACATGAGGTAGGATCCCGCCACGTACGAAAGGTTGACTAGGGTCCATGATGCTTCTTGCGACATGCCGGGGATGATGTCGAACAGAATCTTGCCGAAGAAGATGAGGACAAAGTGGATAGCCCAGGCGCCTGGAGGTGTTAGCCTGAGATACAGAATAGCAACACATCATCTCTGTCTCGTATGATATGTGTGCGCGGTATCTCGTGCTCACCCTTTGCATTCACCCATTCGGCGTTGAGGTTGGGCAGGGCGGACTGGTCGCTCAGCTGCTCCAGAGACTCGGGGGGCTCTTTGTAGACAAGACTACTGCTACGTCGCCTCCTCGCGTCTTTTGCAGCATCCAGCGACATCTTGGAGTAGGACGAGGGCGAGTCTGATGGGCGAGACCGCGGGTCGCCAGCAAAGCTCAGGCGGGAGGTGCGATTGAGGAGTATGGGTGACAGTTTGGCGGTATTGCTGGGTTCGTCGGGCGGCCGGGCGGTGGGAGCGGGGGATGGATAGGCGCGTGGGCGAGCTGAGGCTATGGGAGAGCTGCCACGGGCAATGGCATGTCAGTGAGGTCCTAAAGGAGCAAGGCGGCGACGTGGGCTTTCAGGGTCTTACTGAGTACGCAATACCTTCCGGGGCGTCCGAGCTTTTGGCGTTGAGCGATTGGCGCAGAGAAGGGCGTGTAGACGGTAGCGATGTAGCAAGGCAGCGGACAGAGAAGAGGGATTCGTTGGCAGAGGAGGAGGGAGTGAAGCCTCAGTCGGCAGGCGTGAAGACGGAGGCGTGGCAGGTCCACATGATGCTCCCAAAGACCGTGTTCCTAGCAATCACCGAGGCCGTGCCCTGAGCGCAACCATACAACTCTAGAACCAGACACTACCACCTCCGTCCGCCAAAGACCCTCCAACCACCACCCTTTTCACCACCATGGCCTCGGAAGCGCCGCCCCCGATGGAGTCCCACGCTCTCGCCCACGATGCACCGCCCGCCGATGCACCCGATGCGACGCAGAAGCCCGTCAAGCGCTCGTGGAGGTATGACGCGCCGACGGATTAAATGCAGTCCCCAGCTAATGTGCATAAAAGACGAAAATACCGCAAGATGCGCATCAGGTTCGAAGAGGCCATGAACGACAGCGACAGCCTCATCAAGCAGGAGTGGAAGGCCATGGGCACCGCCCGCCGCCTGCAGGAGAACAACGACCAGATCCTCGACATCCTCCTCGAGCTCAACGAGCAGACACGCGTCAACCCGCGCCTGCGCTTCGACCTGCGCAACCTCTCTGCCGCCGACACCGCCGTGCCCTCGCTGGAAGCCGTCCCCGATCCAGAACTGGTGAAAGCGCAGCTGCAGACGTTGAGAGATGACCTGGCCGCCAACACCATCACCCCCGAGGAATACGCGACACGGGCTGACCAACTGCACTCGTCGCAAGCCATCCAGCAGACGCTCAAGTCGCTCGCCAGCCTCGAGGCCAAAGTACCCCACACGACGCGCGCCGACCTGCCCGACCACCCCGTCGACGGCATCGACCTCAGCGAGCATGCGCCGGGCTACATGTCGCCCACCCACGAAGACGAATACCTCCTCGCTACCGACCAACTCCTCGAGCAGCCCGGCTTCGACCAAGCCCTCCAGCAGGGCCGCCCCGTTCGCCTCGCATCCGCCCAGCCCCCGCTCAGCGAAAAGGACCTCACCGTGCGCAACCCAGACAGCGTCTACAATTGGCTGCGTAAGCATCAGCCCCAAGTCTTCCTGCAAGACAAAGACGCGGCGCATCACGAGAACCTCTCCGAAAAGTCTGCCGCGCCAAAGACCAGCAAGGCCAACGCAACCAAGGTCAAGCGCGAGTCAAACATTGGCGGCGGCACACCTGCTCCCCGCGATCACGACGACGAAGACTCAGCCGCCCCCGAGACCGGCAAGGGACGACGCAAGACAGGCGGCGGCGACGACGACACCGCCTACCGACCCAAGGGCGGCAGCTCTCGTCCCGCAAAGCGCAAGCGGGAAGAGGGCGAGACGCCTGCGGGTAAAGGTAGCAGGAAGAAGAGTCGTCCAAGCGCGGTCACAGGGCCAGCTGCTTGACCTGCTTGCTAACAGGGCGCATAGAAGAGCTGGCCTACCGAGCTGGGACATGCACTCATTGCGCGCGCAGTCGTAACCTCAGGACCCCGCTAAATTGCAACGTGCGAATCCATGCGAAGGACGCTTCCGTAGCCATTCCTTGCCGGACGTGCGTGCGCCGTGGCGGCGAGTGTATTGTCGACCCGCTTTGCCTCTAGAGCACCGTCTCACTTTGAGAGTATTCGTAAAAAATCACGTTGGTCGGGGATGGCGTTACAGGGAAATATTGGCGTAACGATGGGTTCACTTATACCCTTGGAAGACTATTCCCGGAAATTTGTATCAACAGGCGTTTTGGCAGCTGGAGATTAACTGGATATATGGGTATCATCCACACACGCAGCACAGAAAGATGCTGTTTCCATTGCGTATTTGTAACAACAATCAAACATTTCATATTCATACATCAACGTTCGACTAATATCTCATGCGTGTCGAATGTCAACTACCTCAGCGGCTTCCCCCTCGCACCCCCCACCATAACCGTCTCCGGCGCCTTGCCCGCCTCACTCATAAACGGCAAACTCGTCTCAAGCACCTTACTCCCATTCACCAGCAACCCATTCCCCTTCCTCTGATCCTCAAGATAAGCCGTCTTCGCCCTCTTCTCCTCCAGATACTGTTTCCTCTCCTTCGTCAACACCCATTCCTTGGGGAACTCCGCCCGTTTCTTCGGCGTATGATGTCTGAAATCAAACGGCACATCTTCAAACGTATCTTTCCCTTCCTTCGCTTCCTTGATAATAGCAGACAGGGTTTCGCCTAGGAACCGCTTGTTCTGCGCCTGTGTATCGAATTTCTCGCACGAGAGCTTGACGATGTTGGTGGAGGGGTTGTAGCGGGGTCCCGCGAGTTTGATTACTTTGGAGACTTGTTGGGTGGTGAGAGAGTGGGAGGCGGTCAGGTCGTTGGGCGAGAATTCGACGACGACTTTGTTGGCGGCGGGGTGCGATTCACCGAGGTAGGAGGTGTAGCGGAAGCGGAAGGGGGTTGTGGATGTTGGGGGTTCGAAGGGGCGGGCGAGGTCTGAGTGATGTTAGTATGTGTATTTCGTCCTGGATATGTCCAAACATACGACTCAAAAGCGGCAACTCCCACGCAATCAACCGCGCGTACTCCCTCAACTCGCGGTGCTGCTCCAATTCTCCGTGCCCGTGGCTCGTCAGGTCGTCTCCGTAGTAGTCCTCATCCGGTCCCATGCTCTCTTCTCCCTCCGCCCAGAATCCCGTGGATACCTTCCGCTTATCGTCTTCCTCGATATCAAAGTCTTCGTCTGTTTCCAGGCCAAAGTCTTGGGTCTGCGGTAGACCACGTTTCCCCTTGCGGAGGGCATCGCGGACCACATTCGGATCGATCTCTGCGAGAGACACGCGGAGGTTCTCCAACATGGCGGATTCGCGCTCTTGCGGTGTCATGTCTTGAAATGCTTTTGTCTGGGTGGTGTTCGAGAACGAGGATTGAGGTAATTCCGGCGCCAATTCGTCCAGGGTCTCAGTCGGCTTCTTCGCATCTGCAGCGGTTACAGAGCCCTCTTTCGTGGGTTCGTTGGCACATCGCCGCGGCGTTGTGGATATTGGCCGTTGCCATTGTGCGGATGTGTGTTTGGATGCGGCGAGCGTTCGTATCCGCGAGGGGCATTGGCGTGACTGCAGCAGCAGTCTTCGTGGTATTGACGCCATTGGATGTTGGTTGGGCGGGTGATGCTGTCGTCGACTTTTCGCGATGCAGGAATGGCTTGGCGATGGGGTGCAAAGTGTGGCCGTGCGTTGGACCAATTGGAACTAAGATGACCCCGACCTTCGCCGCTGTCCTGGCATCGTGACTATCTTGACGACAACTTGATTTCGACTTTTGGTTCT